TACAAGTAAATGGACGTATAAATATATTCCAACTTTCTGTAACAAGCTTTAGACAGACCAGATTTCACAGTTAAATATTAAGATATTGTGATCTCCCTATCTTAAAATGAGATTAGGAAATGGAAATCCATTATTTACTGAATGGTCATTCTGTTTATATATATATATATTACAGAGGAAGCATGCTTTTCTGTAGCTTTCATGTAGCAGCTGACAGAAAAGAACAAGTAAAGAAAATAGCAAAAAGTACTAGTTTCTATAACTTCACTTGCATATTTATATAGACTATTACTAAAAATGGTTGCTTTGTAGGAATAGAGTGTGACAAGTCATCCATCACTTGATATCTGGACCTGAGCAGACTATTGGGAAGTTAAAGAAATGCAGTAGCTTCTATGTGTTTGTTTTCATAAGAAAACACTGGCAGGCCTGTCAGGTGCTTGCTGTGTCAATGATCTCTCCAAAATCTTTCTTATATTTGTTAATTGCCTGAAAATTGCTGGTATGCTCATTTCAGGGATTTTATTATAGACAGAAAGTAAGTACAGTGTTATAAAGTAAACCTGGAAAATATTCACCTCTTCTCTCATGATTTAATTTGTCCAGAGGTCTATGTTGACTATTTCAATCAATGCATGGCTTTTCCAAAGTAGAAAATTACATACGAATTTGAGAATTAAACTATCAGCATAGCACCATTGAGTTTAGTTAATGTATACCCCAAGGAATCCATAATCAAATATTTTTGAGGCTGTTTGCACTGCTTGACACACGTGGAATGTTAGACTAATATTATTACCATCTATTAAGCATGAGTCCTTCCTATGCTGGGAATATTCCTTATCAAATCTGGGTAATCTGTCTGTTGAACTGTGCCTCAATCAACAGATGGAGTGGGAGTCTCCCTAGGTAATGACTAATAGGCAAGTGCTGCTCATTAGCGGTTTCCCTTTCACACTTACCACTTGCCATCCAGCCCCTGGGAAACTCGACTCTTGTAACCTCCTTAGTCATCAGTATGGACAAAGGTACTTCAAGGGGTGCAGGAATTAAAAGGAATAAGAGGACTGTGTTGACTTTAGCACAAGCAAAGGAAAACTTTCCAAAATGATAATAAGTGAAAGTTTGGTGCTAAATGTAGAAAACCATAGGTAGAAAAAAACCCCCTATAACCACATATACATAGTGTTTGCTAAGAATCACATTGTCCTTTGCCATGTATGGAAACATATAGTACTGGAGAATCTGACAGTGTATTTCCATAGCAGATTGTGAATTCCCTCCAGAATTCCAAAACTTGAAGTTTCTTTAAACAAATAGAAGCATCTCTCTTAAGGCATGAGCGTGTTCCATGAGTACGAGTTTACTCTGATTGAAATGCTTCCATAAAGTTACTCTGTTTTGTTACAGAAAATACCACCTGGAAACAGCTGGGTAGGTGTTGAGCTATGATGACCACCACTGAGTCCTGCTGTGTAGCACTGCTGGAAACTGTGTGCCCTGATAGACTGCAGTGGAACAGGCTGTTTTTGCTGTCACTCTGAGTCAGTCCAGACTTCCCTCAACACCCAGCCTTCCTACCCTGCCCTGAACCCTTTTACCTTCAGACTTTCATGACATGACCTATTACGCCTTTTCTTTGCTGCTTCCAAGTACTTAAATTAGTGAAATCATACGGGCTCCTGTTGCTCTGTGTGCAGATAAACTTTGCTATCAGTTGCATAGCTGGTTGTGACTGATTTACACAAGTCCCAGCCTGAAGGTGATATGGACAGTGCCAGGCAATCACAGCACTGCTATTTGCTCCCTGCCTTTTGCTCTATATAGCCACGTTCTGTACAATGGCCATTTTTTGGACTGAAGCTGTCAGAATTTAATTTCAGCCTTCTCTGTTCCTGAGGTTGGATTTATTTTCATTTTTAAAATAAGTGATATTTTTAAAACCAAAATCAGTAAAAATCTTCACATCAGCCTGCATACCTCTCACAGGAAGTTAGTAGAGCAGTTCTTTGTTGAGTTTGATATCCTGAGATTAAAGTAATCACATACTAATATTGTTTAGAAGTTTGTGGTAGAATGTCATTCTACCAATTCCATGTGCAAGTTTCACTGTAAAAGTAAGGTAGAAATTAAATTCCCTGTGCACTCAGTGGGGATAGGTAGCTCCAGAGGCACTTTGGCCATTCCTAAAATAGATTAATTGCTTCTTGAAAGTGTCTGACTCCCTTTGTTGACTACAGCATCTCTTTCTGCCATGTTAGTTTTCCTGTTAACAAAACAATGTTCTTGATTCTTTGCATATGAAAACCCCCAAACAATGCACGTTAAAACAAGTCTAGTATGTGGGCAAATGAAACTCTGCACACTTTGAAAATATATTAAATAAACATTTTAATGTGAACAGAAGTATTCATGTTGCATTTTCAGGTTAATGTAAATTCTTTATTCCCTCTAATATGGACATTCAGGAGTGTTAAGCTTATTGGACTATTTGACTACTGGCAAGGCTAGGAAAACTGAAATGCCATCCCAGAAGGGAACCAAGTTGGATCTATGTCTGTTATCCCTTTGCCAATGCTGCACAGTCCAGTCCTGATACTTCTGACAAAGGCCTATCAGACTCACAGTAGGCAGATAAGGAATAAACTGCTCTTCCCTCTTCCCTCATGGGCCTTATCTGATCTGTAGCAGTTAAAGATTGGCTTGAATTTGGAAACATTAAATAATTCTACAAAGCTCATCTTCTAGTTGAACTTGAAAATTCTGGAAATAGCTACTCTATCCTTCTCTTAATACTGAATTATAGATTTCAACAGCCTCCTAGTTCAACAGTTTGACTGCAGTGAGTGTAAAATATTTTAATTTTTCTACCTTTCACTTTTATAAAATGCCTCCTTGCTTTTGAACAGAGATGCACACAGATTAGATGTTAATGTTTCTGACATTGTCTGCTTATTTCTGCAGTGTTTCTAAAATAAGTAATTTTAGTATTGTTTCTTTTTCAAGGAGTAAAGTATTTTATTTACCCTTCCCCAAATCTGTTCTAATTCTCAAAAACCCTTTACCTAGATGCAGAGATGAGAGTGCATACAATATTCTAGAAAATTTGTGATAATGATTTCTATAAGCACATTTTAACATTCTGTTAACATTCTTTAACATTCTGTTTCAGCCTTTACATATCCTCTTTGCATTTTTGGCAAGAGCTGTGTACACAGCTGCATCTTCACTTGCCTAAGAAAATACTGATGTCCATTTATTGACCAAATATTGCCACATAAACATACCTGTGGGTAATTCAGCAATCCCACATTAACCAGCTTTGATTTTCCTTTCTCATCTTTGTGTCCATTCACCTAGTGTGCCTGGATCCCTTTGTGTAAGCCTCAATTTTTATTGTGACATGCATGGTATGTTGATTGATAGTGGAACTGAGATTCTACATTCCTAGGTAATCTGCATGAGAACACTTTAATTTGTAGCTTAGGATATTAAAGGGAAACCCCCCATATTTTATGTTATGGGTATTATTTAAATGAAATAATGAATACCAACAGCTATAGTAAAAGCATGGGAGAAACTTGGTAATTTCTAAATCAGTTCCTGATTCACCTGCTTATTTCCCTAAAACAGACAAATGTCTCTACCAAAACAGATGGAAAACAATGAATATTGAAGGCTATAATTTACAACAAGCAGGCAAAAATTATTGTGGTTAATTTTCTTCTTTGAGACTTTAACTTGAAATTAATATTCTGAGTCTCACTGTTAAAGCACATTGTGACAGAAAGGTAAACAGTCAGGTGAAATGTCTTCTTCATGCAACAGAAAAGCTCTGTCTGTGCAGGCAAATTCCATTGACAGGTTGGGGGCTAAGGAGGGGAGGGGTAAAATGCAACAGAGAAAATGGAGACTGAAATAAAAGGACAATCTGAGGATATAACTTAGAAAAGCAAGAGAGAAAAGATTGTTACTTTTTTCAGTAACTTAAGGAGAAGATTAAGGTACTGGAGTGTTTGAAAGGTGAAATAACCAATTTTAAGAGTGAGAAAAGATGAGCAGGAACTGTAATTTATGGAGGTTAGAGACTGAGAAGTTAGGTCAGACATAAGCTTCATGAGAATGCAACTTCTGATAATGGAGTAATCACATAAAACAGTAGGAAATTCAGTGTGGGGGATGTTTAAGGCAATCCATTGCTGGATGTAGTTCTGAGGTCCAAAGAATATGCACCAAGCAAGGCAGAGAAGTAATCTTTGTTTATATTTGTTACTTGGTGATGGCTCTCCTCACAGTGCTTTTTGATGCCTTTCCTGATCATACAGAATGTTTAAACTAGAACTGGCTAATTAGATTCTCATATTAAAATAAATTATTCTAGTTTTGACAGTGAAAAGTCTGGTTTAAATTAAGGCCGAACTGTGCAATCTGTATCTGTATAAGCTGTGATTATTGCTATGCATTGCTGCTTTGCTGATGACCAAATCAGCACAGTGACTACTGTATTTCTCCTGTATTCAAAATCACTCTCTAATACTGTTTAATATCACAGAAGCAGGTTTAGAAAAATTAGATTAAATTTAACTACATTTCGACAACCCTTTCTTCTTTCTTCTCCACCTGTCTTTCTATCCTCTCTCCCCATTTCCCCCTTGTCTCTCAAGAACAGCTATAGCCAGAGTCACACAAATATTTTGAGATTTGTGTAGTTCTAACTTTGAAATAGATTCTCATCCACTATGAGCTGGCACAAATGCATTGAAGGTATAGTGCATTTGTAAAAATAGTTCTCTGTCATGTCCTCTCACATCTGAAAGCACAGAAATTCATAATCCAGACCCATACAATAACTGTAGATGTATAAACTAGGATTTTTTTTTTTAGTAAGAAAAGCAGGATAAAGAGCAGAATCAAAATGTTATGTAAAGACAGATTTTGATAGACACATTTCTTGAAAGCAGTATGCAGCCTAAATAGATTTTAAGAAATTGTGACCTTACCTTTTTTGTTGGTGGTGTTCAGAAACCGAAGTGTGAGACTGCATTTTGATGTCACATTTATCACTCCCAGTTTACAATTGACAACAAAGTAGAGGACTGGGAGCAGTACAGGCTGAGACGATAAATCCTTTGATGCTGTGTTATTGTGCTTTCTTCTTGCACATATCCATCCAGGCGAAATCTGACCTTCTTTTGTGGGGTTAAGAAAAGCAGATGGAGACTGCTATTTCAGAAATGTCCATGGTGGGCTAAGGAATACTTGCTAAAGACTTCTCCTCTGATAAATCAGTTGTCATCTAAGGGACCTACTTGTGGTCCTACTTTGTCAGTTATAATCTAGTAAATATTTAACTTGCTAACTGAGAGACCTGGGACTGTGTGATTTACAAGTGGGTGTAGCCTTCACTTTGGCATTTATTGTGGCCCCTTGTTCTGGACATAGCCTAACTAAATTAGCAGGTGAGGTAAAGATTGTGATTTACTGTAATTTTGGGACAGAAAAAAATGCTAGACAGGTGCTAAAGGTTGTTTTTAACAAAAATGATAAACTATCATATCATGAACTGTTTCAAAGTAAATAAGGAACATCACAGCAAATGCATTCTAAAATGGAACTTCTGTGATCAGGAATGCTAAAATTTTTTAGAGGTACAATGAGAATATTACAGTGGATATGTAATCAATTCATGCTTTGTTTCATGTGAAATTGCTTTGAAAGCAATAATTTCATGGCACCTGTTCGATTTTTCCTGTGTCAAGTTTCATGACACCTTGATTTATCCATCTAGTAGCATGTGAAGAATGAGAGGAAACATATCTCTGTTTTTGACAGAGTGCCATACTTACCCCTGGACCATATCTCAGACTGCAGCATGCACTTCCATAACAGAGAATCTGCAAAGGTTTGGCCAGAGGAATATGCATTCTCAAATATTCAAGCAGTATATTAGACAAATTGAAAAATCTGGAAAAGCTGCTTCCCTAAGCAGATATGTGAGGAACAAAGAGTTAAGGAAATGGGGAAATTGGTAACAGGACAGAAATGTGAAGGGCCATTGCCCCTTGCGCTGAAGGTTTCAGGGGTTGGGGAACCTGATATGTAAATCTTTGAACTGTAACAGAAAGATATGGTCTTTTTAATTATTTCCATTTTGGCAACGTGGTATCTCTTTGAGATGTGGAAATATTCAAAGGCCAGCTGGGATATTGTTTTGTGTTTTGTAATAGAAGTAAAAGTAGGTTGGCACAGGCGTTGGGTGGCACAGGAACACTAGCTGTGTGGCAATCTGTGACCAAGTCTACAAGGCTTGTGCTGGCTGATCCAAGCTTTGTTCTGCCAGCAGTGTGCCCCATTTCCCAGAGGTAACTCCTGCTGTGCAAGGTTACCAGCTGTAAATAAGGTCTGCTCCTTGCTGACGCGGAGGAGCTGCTGACTTATGAGACTCATCAGTTACAGAGTTTTGGCCTCCTACCAGCAGAGCTGAAAGTGAACTCTGTCACGGTACCACCTCCTAGCTTTCCTTCTTGACTTCTTCCCATCTTTTGCGCACATAAATACAAAAGAACTGAAAATATAGTTTTGTAGGTGTCCTTTCATTACTCAATCAGGTAGAACTCCTAAAAAATCTTTTGTTTCTCATGCATATGTTGCCCTAGTTATTTGCCTTCGGAAAAAAAAATAAGAAAAATACGTTAAATACTAGTAAGGAAATAATTTCAAGTGAGATTAAAAGAGTAGTCTTTAACTCCTTTATTCAAGATTTGCATCTTTAGATCGCATAGGAACCCAAATGTCATAATTTTGAAAATATTTCATTTTTAAAGGATTCTTTAAGCTCTCCTGGGACGCCCGCAGCCCGTGTCCGTGGCGCGGGCCAGCTCCCGGTACGACCCCTCTGCCGCCCCGCGCTGTCCGGCCGAGCTCCGGCGCGGTGCCGGCCCCCTCTGGCGGGCGGTGCCGGTACTGCCGCGGCCGCGCGGGGCTGGGCCCGCTCCGGGGCACCGCCAGCTGGGCGAGGGGAGGGCAGGCAAGGGCGGCCAGCGTTGGTTCCATGTCGGGGACGGTAACTCTTTAGTACCTCAGGACACAGTTATTCTCACAGCAGTGCAAGAGCCCCAATTCATTTAATAGTTTGTGCTTTTATTACGTGGACAGAAACAGTATAGCTTATGTTTGAATATTTCTCTTTCGAATTGTTTTTTATTTATGGTCTCTAAAAACATACCCATGGAATTATTTTTTGCTACAAGCCTACAAGCTTTTTTAAAAGGGGGCAAGAAGTGTAATTACAGAACTATAACTATATAATTTGTATGCATCTCATATATATATGTTACTGACAATGGTCTAATTCTGGTCCACTGTGAATGGTTTGGTCAAATTTGGGTAAACCGATGGCTGAATGATGGCATTAAAACCAGGACGAAAATGTTATGAACTTACACAAATATTCAGAAAAGACTGGACAAAACAGGGAGGTACCTGCCAGACTGTGACTGGTAAGAAAATGTTCCTTCATAACATGAGGATTTTTTTTGTTTATTCATGAAAGCATTGTCTGAGTATGTGATGCAATAGGTAAGAATATGCAGTTAGTGGTTTTGTTTTGGACAATCAAAACTGTGCATAGTTCTACATTAAAGGACCACAAACCACATTGGCAATACTTTATATGGAGACTTGTGTCTTCGTATAGTAGTGTCTGTAACTTGAAATCATCTTAATATTATTTGTTGTACTACAGGAACTTTGTCTGAAGAGATAATTTTTGTTCCCAGAACTGCCACATGGTATTATATATGTCATGATACTTTCTTTACTTTGATTACTCTCTTTTGACTGCTATTGTATTTTAACCCAAAGCAGCTTTAAAGTAAAAGAATGCCTTTTGCTCCTCTGTTAAGATATTATCTTTGTTATTGTTGCTCAGTTTAACCAGAACAGAAAAGCAGTAGCAAGGTGGGTTGGCAACTGAACAATCAGGGGCAGCTGGTGGATTTATGCTTCATTACTTTTTGTTCAACTGGTCAGGTCTAAGAGGCAATAGCAAAGTCTCAGCTTTTCTGCATAGTTCTCATGAAGTGCTACCTATATCAGCCAAGAGCTGTACATACTTAGGTTTTCTTAAAATTGGGGTAAAAATATTGAGATGTTGAAATGGAAATTTACAACTTGACTTGAAGCCTCTACAGACTTGCAACTATTACCCATGAACATTAAGAACTGATCCATTGCAATGGATAGAAAACTGTGTTTCATTTGGCAGGAGACCACCTTTCGCATTAGTATTCTTGAAATTTCTTAATTAAGAAATTCTTAAATTTGTTGCAAACATTTCCAAACAATTATATACAATTCCTATTGTAATTTAATCTCTCACAGAGTACTAAAAATAGATTCTTTTGGAGTTTTGTTACAATATTTAATTTCTGTCTGAATAAAAAGAATTTTATTTCTATTGAGGCATTGTCAAAATACCTTTGGTTAATTTTGTGTGATTAGATACAGAAAAGCTGAGAATGTCAAAGGTCTTAAGCCAGTAAAAAATCCTAATCTTTTTTCTGTCACTTCACTGTCACTGGAGAAAGATCCAAGACACTGGAGGAGACACTTTTCACTGCTTAGCTCTGTGGCTTATACTGCATAGCTGCTCTCATTAAATTAAAATGTAAAAGCAATTTTTTCTCTTGAAGGGAGGAAAATTACCTTAAATTGCCTCATTCTATTATCTTTAATGTAAAAAAATTGCCTGCCTATCTCTTTGTCTTTTACATAGCATCACCTCACTTTAGAAGATGCATCCTGATTCCATTTTTCAAGGGTGCATCTCTGGGCATAGCACAGGACGTATTTTTTTCCTCGATATATTCTGCTGTTAGGGTCTCATACAGAAGACCTTACAGTGTGTCAGATTAGTACTTTAGCTCAGATCAGGAATGTGCTTCTGAATCTGCTTGTCTCTGCTAAATGCACTTTGATTCATGTGATGGAGCAGTCTTGGGGTGCATTATTGGATCTCTTTCAGATGACACTGAAAGGACAAGTGTTGCAAGAGCACAGCATGTTCAAGGCTCACTGACTGCACTCAGTCCCTCGTCAGACCTGATTAGTTGTTTTTTTGACATAAGCCCCCAGGAAATATGCATGGTGAGGATGTCAGGTCACCAGCACCAACTGTTTCATTCCACAGCTCTGTTTCTCACGAAGTCCAGTCCTTGCAGATGTGTACATGGCCTCTGATTTTTATCATGATTTGGTATTGTAGTTTTATACTATAGTTGGAGCTCCAACATTTATTAATCTATCTGAGGTTGATGTGTCTCTAGCTCCTAAGAGAAGGAAGTGATCCTCCTTAACATTTGGGGCAGTTATTCTATGGAATTAGGATGGTAAAAGTATCCTTCAATTACAAATTCAGTCCAAACAAATGGTTTGAATGGAGCATGCAAAATACTTGATTTGCTTTTCAGATATGAAATACTAGTACTTTTTTTCCTCGCTGGAACTCTTAAGCAGGAAATAAGCTTCAAAGAGATATTATTGTAACAGTGTGGTATTAACTCCCCTTAGCAGTTGAATGAAGCCTCGGAGAATTTGGGGTAAAACTGCGCTGTCCTAATGAAACAGCATTTTAAAAATTGTATTATGTACCAAGCTAATAGTAACTTCAAAATTTTGCTTCATTAACTTTAAAGTATTAAAAGCTCAAAACCACTGTGAAGGATGTATTAGCCAAAAATATTAATGAAATGTGCTGACCTCCAGATATATGTTCCCATGTACAAACATGAGGGCTCTGTAATTGAGACCCATTAAGTATTGTGGCTATATTGGCTGAGTTAGTAGCCTCAGGTGCTGGCTGGCATTCAGTATTGCCAATGTTTTTCTCTGTTAGCTGTAAAAATGGGAGGAGGGGGAGCTGGGGGGAAGAGGGGAAGGAGACTTTAACAGCAATCCAGTCTTTACTAGTGGGAAGGTCCTTAAGATGCAAATGAAAACCTCCTCTCTACCCTCTTTCAATATATACAGTGAATGTATTCTGCCGGTCCTCGCTTTCCCCCTGTTGGAAGAAATTTATTATTTGAGACTGAACTGTGTAGATTTCTGTGCTTTTCAGTGGTTGTGCTACAATACAGAGATCATAGATCTCATTCCCATGTAAGGACATCTCTTTCTTTCTGCAGCAGAAACTCATTAATTTTAATATACACCAGTGAAGCAGTTGAGTGGGCTTTGAGGTCTCCTTCATAGCAGCGTGTTGTGTTGCTTCTGCACCACTGAGTTCATTATTCTTTTATTAATAAAACAAGAAGGAATACAGTT